AAAACCACCATAAAAAAGCCAGACTACGGTTTGCAACTGCACATGGGGACAAATATCTTACTTTTTGGAGAAATGTCCTCTGGTCTGATGAAACAAAAATAGAACTGTTTGGCCATAATGACCATCATTATGTTTGGAGGAAAAGGGGGTGGCTTGCAAGCCGAAGAACACATTTTTAACATTGTTAGTCATTTAGCAGACGCTCTTATCCAGAGCGACTTACAGTTAGTGAGTGCATACATTTCATTTTTTTCAACACCATCCCAACTGTGAAGAACAGGGGTGGCAGCATCATGCTGTGGTGGTGCATTGCTGCAGGAGGGACTGGTGCACTTCACAAAATAGATGGCAACATGAGGAAGGAAAATTATGTGGATATATTGAAGCAACATCTCAAGACATCAATCAGGAAGTTAAAGCTTGGTCGCAAATGGGTCTTCCAAATGGACAATGACCCCAAGCATACTTCCAAAGTTGTGGCAAAATGGCTTAAGGACAACAAAGTCAAGGTGTCAAGGTATTGGAGTGGCCATCACAAAGCCCTGACCTCAAGCCTATAGAAAATGTGTGGGCAGAACTGAAAAAGCGTGTGCGAGCAAGGAGGCCTACAAACCTGACTCAGTTACACCAGCTCTGTCAGGAGAAATGGGCCAAAATTCACCCAACTTATTGTGGGAAGCTTGTGGAAGGCTACCCGAAACGTTTGACCCAAGTTAAACAATTTAAAGGCAATGCTACCAAATACTAATTGAGTGTATGTAAACTTCTGACCCACTGGGAATGTGATGAAAGAAATAAAAGCTGAAATAAATCATTCTCTCTACTATTATTCTGAAATTTCACATTCTTAAAATAAAGTGGTGATCCTAACTGACCTAAGACAGGGAATTTTTACTAGGATTAAAATGTCAGGAATTGTGAAAAACTGAGTTTAAATGTATTTGGCTAAGGTGTATGTAAACTTCCGACTTCAACTGTGTATCTACAGCTATCCATTTGGTCTCCCATCCAAGGCTTTAACCAAACCCAGCCCTGCTTAGCATTAATATTTGTCACTGACTACTACCAATGTGCTATCGTGAGAATGATTATTGAGAGACCTCTTAATAACTAAATAGATTCACTGTTGCTATCAAAGTCATTCCAAAGGGTAGGTTTAACAAAACAAATTAAATGTAAGCATACTTTATAACTCATACAGTATATCGTCAATGATACTATTTAGGCCTATACAGCATTTGCAAAGTCATCAACGGCTTTTGTTTCAATTCAACCCAGGGTTTAATAAAGAAATTGACAATACATATACACTACCAGTCAAAAGTTTAGACACACCTACTCATTCAAGGGTTTTTCTTTATTTTTACATTGTAGAAAAATAGTGAAGACATCAAAATTATGAAATAACACATATGGAATCATGTAGTAGCCAAAAAAGTTTTAAACAAATCACAAATTAACTTTTAAGAAGGCACACCTGTTAATTGAAATGCATTCCAGGTGAGTACCTCATGAAGCTGGTTGAGAGAATGCCAAGAGTGTGCAAAGCTGTCATCAAGGCTGGCTATTTGAAGAATCTCAAATATAAAATATATTTTGATTTGTTTAACCCTTTTTTGGTTACTACATGATTCAATATGTGTTATTTCATAGTTCTGATGTTTTCACTATTATTCTACAATGTAGAAAATAGTAAAAGTAAAGAAAAACACTTGAATGAGTAGGTGTGCCCAAACTTTTGACTGGTACTGTAGACCTAGGGTTTCAAGCTTTGGTTGATTTGAAATGTAATCTTCAAGATAATAATTGATATGTTGGATTCACGTCTCCATCTCAACCAAAAATCTAAGTTAAAGAATAGGACTAAATCAAATCAAACTTTGATATGATTTGATTTAGTACGATTCTTTAACTTACATTTTTGGTTGAGTTGGAAACATATCAATTATTAATTTGTAGACAAACTGGATATTGAATTATGTTTGGTTGTCAACGCAACCAAATATTAACATTTGAAGGAGATGCATCTTCTGCTTTGATAGTTCCATCTGTGCCACTAACAGTCTGGCTTTAATTCCAGTTTGTCTACAAATTAATAATTGTTAGGGGCCTCCCGAGTGGCGCAGCGGTCTAAGGCACTGCAGTGCTTGAGGCGTCACTACAGATCTGGGTTTGATCCCGGACTGTGTCGCAGCCGGCCACGCCTGGGAGACCCATGAGGCGACACACAATTGGCCCAGCGTCGTCCGGGTTAGGGGAGGGTTTGGCCGGCCTGAATGTCCTTGTCCCATCGCGCTGTGGCGGGCCGGGCGCATGCATGCTGACACGGTCGCCAGTTGTATGGTGTTTCCTCCGACACATTGGTGCGGCTAGTTTCCGGGTTAAGTGGGCAGTGTGTCAAGAAGCAGGGTCGTGTTTCGGAGGACGCATGGCTCTCGACCTTCGCCTCTCCCGAGTCCGTATGGGAGTTGCAGCGATGGGACAAGACTAACTACCAATTGGATATCACAAAAAAGGGGGGTAAAATTATATATTTTTTAAATAATTGTTATGTTGAATTCATGTCTCCATCTCAACCCAAAATCAAAGTTAAAGAATAGGACTAAATCAAATTAAACTTCAAATGCACTTTAAATAAAGTGTGATTTAATCCTATTCTTTAACTTTGATTCTTGGTTGAGATGGAGACGTGAATCCAACATATCAATTATTAATTTGTAGACAAACTGGAATTAATGCCAGACTAAGTCAATGGTACAGATGAAACTATCTCCTTCAAAATGTTGATATTTGGTTGCGTTGACAACCAAACAATTCAATATCGAGTTTGTCTACAAATTAATAATTGATATGTTGGATTTACGTCGCCATCTCAAACAAGTCAATGAATAGAACTAAATCGAATCAAACTTTACATGCAGTTTAAATAAAAGTATGATTTGATTTAGTCCTATTTTTGGTTGAGATGGAGATGTGAATCAAACATATTAATCATTAACTTGAAGATTACATTTGAAATCAACCAAAGCTTGAAACCCTAGGCCTATATGTATTGTCTCCCACGTGGCGCAGTGGTCTAAAGCTGTGCCACTGGAGATCCTGGTTCGAGTCCAGGCTCTGTCGCAGCCGGCCGCAACCAGGAGACCCATGGGCGGCGCACAATTGGTCCAGCGTCGTCCAAGGTAGGGGACGGTTTGGCCGGCAGGGATGTGGGTTCGTTTCCCACGGGGGGCCAGTATAAAAAAATAAAATAATAAGTATGCATTCACTAACTGTAAGTCGCTCTGGATAAGAGCGTCTGCTAAACGACTAAAACGTAATGTAATGTCTATTTTTTGTTGAACCCTGGGTTGAATGGAAACAATAGCTGTTGATGACTTTGCAAATGCTATATAGGCCTAAATAGTATCATTGATGAGATGACTTATAAAAGTGTGGCTACATTTACATTTGCTCTGTTAAACCTATCCTTTGGAATGACTTCAATAGCAGTGAATATATTTACTTATTAAGAGCTCTCAATAATAGTTCTCACAATAGCACATTGGTAGTAGTCAGTGACAAATATAAACGCTATGCTGGGCTTGGTTAAAACCCTGGAGACCAAATGAATAGCTGTAGATCAACTCTCCAGTGCTGCCCAGAAATGTAAAAAAAATATATAAAGTTGAAGATCTGATGTTGTTTCAAATTCAACATATATGTTACACCAGGTTTGTCTATGTTGGAAATTGGTTACAATGATGACATAATCCTGTGGTTGAAATTTCACCCTCAAAACAACAGTTTACGTTGATGACTTTTTTCAAATCCAATGTATTTACCACGTAGATTCCACGTCACAATACGTTCACACAACGTTGATTCAAACAGTTTGTGACCAGTGGGTGGTGGGGTTTTCAGGCTTGAGTCCAATGACACACCGTTTTACTCTGAGAGTTACCCTCCACTTAATCACAAACCCTAATAAATGCACTGTTGGTTAAGGGCTGTAAGTAAGCATTTCACTGTAATGTCTGCACCTGTTGTATTCGGCGCATGTGACCAATACAATTTGATTTGATTTGATTAACTGCTTCCTGTCCTCTGGTTTATTTCAGTTTTTGTTTTGCTCTCTACTCCAACCTCAGTCTCTACCTCCTCCACTTACTTCCTCTTCATCACTTCCAGTGAGAGGCACGGCCGGGCAGTGAATCTAGCGTAGATATTAGAGACATTAGACCTTGGTCTATGAGATGTAGGTCATTATCACAGTGTGGTCATGACCTTGGGGTCAAACTGCCATGCTGGAAACATCTCAGTGCACTCAATGTCTGCCGCATGCTGACTTGCTGATCTGCTGTGAATCACATCTCCAACTGGTGATTGGGTAACAGCTGCAGCCGTAGAGAGAGGAACCAAGTGCTTCCCTATAATACAGGAGCGGGAAGTACTAGTAGAGGGAGAAGTTGGTGACGTACTGACACCCAAACTATTTACATATTAGTGGTTTGTTAGTTTCTGTGTGGTTCTGGACTTCAACCATGTAAGAATGACTAACAGCACAGTCAGCAAACCTAAAGAGATTAAGAACTAGTCAAGACGCATTCAAGAAAAACACTAAAATGCATGTTTTCTCCAAGGAGGGGACCTTGTGGTCTGTAACATGTTGACATCAGGTACTACTAGCTCTAGTCTTTGATTTAAGACAATTCTGTTGCTCCATTTTATTGCCCCTGATAGGCTGATAATATGAGCCCTTTACCTCGAGGTGAAAGAGCATGAGGAAGAGATACAGTAGTTAAGACACGAGATAGTGATTAGTTTACATAATACACTTGGGCTACATCTGGGGCCATATGTTGAGAAGTCAGCACAAGTTCTTTAGTACTGTTATAAAGCAAGACCTGGAGTACTAGGTTTAGGCTATTTCCAGGAAAAGACGTTAGCTCATCACATCAATCTAGCGGTCATACTATGTGGCGCAGACATGGAGGGCTACCTAAATATAAACTCAACACCTTTATTAACATGAGGTTTGGCAGAGAGACGGTTGTGTTGGCCATCACGGTAAGTGGACAACAACCCTGTAAAAAGACTATTAAAAGACCACACACACACAAATCTAGATGGATTAAAACCAGTCACCTGCCACTTTGGCATCACTTCAATGAAAAGGTTAGCAGTCTCTATATAAGAGCATGCGATTGTGTGTGTGTGTGTGTGTGTGTGTGTGTGTGTGTGTGTGTGTGTGCGTGTGCGTGCGTGTGTGTGTGATGTACCTGTAGATGATGCCCTTGCTGTGCAGGAACATGAGTGCAGAGGTGATCTCGGCGGTGTAGAAGCGAGCACGGCCCTCCTCAAACTTCCTGGACTTCTGGATGTGGAACATGAGGTCGCCCCCGTTGACAAACTCCATCACAAAGAACAGGCGGTCCTGCAACATAGAGACAATGGTTCCTTTCTTACATACACAACAATTAATCCCAACTTTCTCTGCAACAGCTCTACATGTTCGATGACATACCAAGTTTCTTACGTCAAGGAGGAAGTGGCGTCAAACTCTTGTCTATTACTCGTACATTCCACGAGCCCATATAGCAGATTCATGTGGCTGACACTGCAGAGCCACAACTCCATGATACCAATGGGAAAATACACTGTGTAAATACATAAATCCTTTTTCTCATTACAGGTTAGGCACCCGCATGTTCCAGAATATGGGAGCAGGAAAAAACCCTTCCCTGTGGAACACGTAGTGCAGTACTGTCTGGGTCATAAATGCACCAGACATGACTAGCCAGCAGAAGGTTGAAAAGACCCTGTGTTCTGTTCAACTACAGCACACTAGGTAGGTAGAGACTATAGTGCCCTTACTGTGTTTATCTACTGAGCATGTCTTAGATTAACTTGATGTCATTGGTAAGATATTGACAAGTAACCCAACTATATTAGTCATGGATATGAATCGTGTAGAGAGGCTCTGAGAGAGATGAGGTACAGCTACAATGTGCATTGTTAAGATCTGAAGTACTGTAACCCCCTCAAAGAAGACAGAACTATGGAGTGAAGATAGTGTGTGGTCTAGGGGCAGCCGATATATACATAGTAAGCTGTGTCTAGGAGCCAGAATAAACACATCACTCAACCTCACTCAACGCTGCTCGATTTTGATCCACATTGAAGTAGACAAGCGAGGGTTCAAACAACTAAAGCAGAGCAGGCTCTGGGTGGGAGAATAGCTCTGGTATCCAGAGGGTCATTCACACTGTGCTTCCTACATCACACTCTCAACTTAACCTCTCACACTCAGATAACGTTAGGGCACTGCTGCCCTCAACAGGACAATCTAGGCATTACAGCAAAATATTTATTGTGGGACTGCAGTCAACAGTAATGTAAGAATGTGTGTGTGTGTCTCACCGGTGTCTGAAAGCAGCAGTAGAGCTGAGTGAGGTAGGGGTGGCAGCCAGCCAGTGACAGCACTCTCTTCTCTGTCATAGTGCACTCAACATCATCATCCTGCAGAATTATGTCCTTCTTCAGCACCTTAACTGCAAACACCCGCTCACTGCTGTTCAACCGAGCCAGCATCACCTGAAATAAGAATAAACCACACACACGTAAAATTATCCAACTCTAAACCCTCACACAGTCCATGGTGGTATCGCTCTATAGTGGTTGTCTCACCTTGCCGAAGCTGCCCTTGCCCAACACCTGAAGGAAGGTGAAGTCAGAGATACCCAGCAGTCTGGTCTGCTGCTGAGGGTTTCCACTCTCCCTCCTCACACTGAGGGCCCGCTCCTGGCCCTGCCCTCCAGAGGACTGGGGGACAACAGGATGAGCATTTAACTACAGAGTATGTATGTAATGTATGCCAAGATTGTGCAAAGCTGTCATCAAGGCAAAGGGTGGCTATTTGAATAATATATTTTGATTTGTTTAACGCTTTTTTGGTTACTACATGATTCCATATGTGTTATTTCATAGTTTGATGTCTTCACTATTATTCTACAATGTAGAAAATAGTAAAAATAAAGAAAAACCCTTGAATGAGTAGGTGTTCTTCTTTGGACTGGTAGTGTATGTGTGTGTATCAGTGGAGGCTGCTGAGGGGAGAACGGCTCATAATAATGTCTGGAACAGAGCAAATGGAATGGCATGAAACACATGGAAACCATTTGTTTGATGTATTTGATACCATTCCACTAATTCCGGTCCAGCATTATCACAAGCCTGTCCTCCCTAATTAAGGTGCCACCAACCTCCTGTGGTGTGTATGTGTGGATTAATTTGGCTCGCTCTCTTTATCGCTTCCTCTCCCTCTCCCCTTCCCCCTCTCTCTCGCTCTCCCCCTCTCTCTCGCTTGCCCCCTCTCTCATCCTCTAGTTAGCGTACCAGTGAGTTGCGTTTGGAGAGCCCCCCGGCCTGCAGGCCCATCTCTGCCAGCCTGTTGGCCAGCTCCACACTGTTGACCCCACAGCTGGGTGCTACGTTGCCCTTACAGCGGATGTGTACATTCATTTTACAGACTGCAGAGGACAGACAGGAAGTAAAGGTTAATAAGCCATGAAAATGGAATACCTGCCTATAAACATCAGAGAGAGAGAGAGAGAGAGAGAGAGAGAGAGAGAGAGAGAGAGAGAGAGAGAGAGAGAGAGAGAGAGAGAGAGAGAGAGAGAGAGAAGAGAGAGAGAGAGAGAGGAGAGAGAGAGAGAGAGAGAGAGAGAGAGAGAGAGAGAGAGAGAGAGAGAGAGAGAGAGAGAGAGAATATAAGAAATGAGAGAAATAATCTTACTCTTGCAGTGTAGACCCTGTCTGACAAGGCCCCACAGTAGAGAACCACAGTGGTCACAGAAGGTGGGAGCCTTAAAGTTGTGGATGTTAAACTTATGGGGGACGTTGATACTGAAGCCTTGGTTGGTGGTCTGTGAATGAGAATTCATCAGAATGTCATCACATTGACTCAGTGCTGTAAAGTACTTAAGTAAAAATACTTTAAAGTACTACTTATGTCGTTTTTGGGGGGTATCTGTACTTTACTTTACTATTTACATTTATGGCAACTTTTACATCACTACATTCCTAAAGAAAATAATGTACTTTTTCCTTCATATATTTTCCCTGACACCCAAAGGTACTCGTTACATTTTGACAGGAAAATGGTCCAATTCCCACACTTATCAAGACAACATCCCTGGTCATCCCTACTGCCTCTGATCTGGCGGACTCACTAAACACAAATGCTTTGTTTGTAAATTATGTCTGAGTGTTGGAGTGTGCCCCTGGCTATCTGTAAATTTAGAAAAAAATATACAAGAAAATTGTGCCGTCTGGTTTGCTTAATATAAGGAAGTTGAAATTATTTATACTTTTACTTTTGATCCTTAAGTACATTTGAGCAATTCCATTTACTTTTGATACTTAAGTATATTTAAAACCAAATACTTGTACTTTTACTCAAGTAGTATTTTACTGAGCGACTTTCACTTTTACTTTAATCATTTTCTATCAAAGTATCTTTACTTTTACTCAAGTATGACAATTGAGTACTTTTTCCACCACTGCATTGACCTAGGTTTGAATGAGGGACTGAATGTAAATACTGCATGTTATAAACCACACAGCCAACAGGTAGCAGTGTGTGCTCAAGCAAACCATCATATGGCATCATGTTATTATGCCACTTCTCACAACAGAAAAACATTTCTGCACATACTCAGACATGTGTCAATCTGTTTAGTTCTTATTTTTCATCAGTAGTATGGTTTGTCCATATGTGTAATAGACCGTGACATGAAAACCAGATTTTCAGCCTGCATTGAAGTTTTATGTTCCCTATAATGCCTTTAATGTACTTGTAGAATATGTGTGATAATACAGACGAAGGATCTTAATTTGAGCCAGTTTGCTACAGCAGAAAAATAATCCTGCAGCAACAGGAAATGTGAATTATTATGTGGATTATAATTAATGGACATTTTTGTAGGGGTTGATAAATGTAACGGAAAATCAAGTCTGACATTTCAAAGTGGAAATTACAAACTTCAGAAGCCTTTTTAAACCTGCATTGCTGGAAAGTTATCCTGCAACAGGGTGATCAAATTAAGATCCTACATCTGTATTCAGTAGCTTGATGTTGTTGGCCCACACCTTTCTGCCTCACTGAACAACTCAACACAAACAGCATCCGGGGCAGGGTCCCTGGCCGACACAGTTGATGAATAAAGATCTGTTTATCATACGTCTACGTCTTAAGGCTGTCTATTTATCATACATCTACGTCTGAGGACCATTTGACTGGATCTGTGTCTATCAGCACAATGCACCTGTAGAACAGCCTATTTTGACTCTGGAATCCCCCGGATATTCGTCATAGTGTATTTCAGTTGCAAAGACAACTTTTTGACTTTGCATTGTCAGAACACATTCCATTGATGAGAAGGTGATTTTTGGAGTATTCAGGGATGGGTGTCATAGTGATGACATGACAGAGCTGTTACAGCGATATTGTAGTGTAATAGGGGTATGGTGTTAAAGGTCAAATGGCTAGTCTCTGTATGTTGTCTCACCGGCTCCTTGACAGGCTTCTTCATGCGTGGACACACCGTGACAACCAACTGATGACATCGCTTGTGAACCACACAAGTGCATACTGGGAAGCAGACAGAGATAGAATCAAAACAACAATCAAACCATGTCTTTCATTAAGAGAGCCGTTAAGTGTGAAAGAAACCTTGACAAAGGCATCATTTTCCTGCTGAAACACTGGTGATTTCTGAGAAAGAGCATGTGGCTGAATTATTTGAGATGGAGGCCAGGCACTGTGAGATTATCTGGGTTTTGGTTCAGCAGCTCAATAATAAAACAGGCCGTGTGAGAGAGCTCAGTCTCTGTGGCGTAGCATTGACTTCCTGTCTGAGTGGGCTGGTGGTCACAGAAATGGTGTGAATAAGAGTGAGAGAAAAGAGAGACTGGTGGTTTGAGCAGAAAGAAAGACCCAAGAAAGAGAACAGTGAAAAGGAGAAAAAGGGTCACTCACCTTGGCATTGGTAGCCCTGCTTCCCAAATACACCCCTGTAACAGAAGACCTGACAGTCAGGAATCATGCAAAGCATACTGTTTACATAATACATATATTGTAATGGGCTGTTTCTATTATAAACAATCGACAATACTATCACTATATGTGTAACACGTTAGATGAACTCTCTGAGGTGAGGGCAGTAGAGTGTGTGTGGGCTTGTATTACTATCCTTGTGGGAACCGGAAATCCCCAAGTCTCTACAAGGATAGTAAATCAAGGAACATTCTCCTAAATACTATTTTAAACTTAGGGGTTAGGTTTAGGGTTACAATTAGGGTTAGGGTTAAGGGTACCTGAATGGGAAATACATTTTAGGTCCGCTCAAGGATAGTAAAACATATGTTGTGTGTGTGTGTGTGTGTGTGTCCTTACCAGATGAACTCTTTGCAGTGGAAGCAGAAGGTAGGCTGCCGTAGAAAGGTGGACATGAACTTGTGTCCGTTGACCTGGTGAATTTTGCGTTTCACCGCCCCCTGCCTCTTCCTGTTGAACTGCTTAAACACCTTCGCATTCCCTGTGGCGTCATCTGAGAACAGGGGAAGAGAATGGGATGGGATGGGGGTCAGACAGACATGTTCAAATGAGTCAACACAATCATATCCAGTATTGGTGCGTGGGTAAAATCACCAGGGAAACCAATCCAGGACAAAACGACCATATTACAACCTACAGTGGGGAGAACAAGTATTTGATACACTGCCGATTTTGCAGGTTTTCCTACTTACAAAGCATGTAGAGGTCTGTAATTTTTTATCATAGGTACACTTCAACTGTGAGAGACGGAATCTAAAACAAAAATCCAGAAAATCACATTGTATGATTTTTAAGTAATTAATTTGCATTTTATTGCATGACATAAGTATTTGATCACCTACCAACCAGTAAGAATTCCGGCTCTCACAGACCTGTTCGTTTTTCTTTAAGAAGCCCTCCTGTTCTCCACTCATTACCTGTATTAACTGCACCTGTTTGAACTCGTTAACTGTATAAAAGACACCTGTCCACACACTCAATCAAACAGACTCCAAGCTCTCCACAATGGCCAAGACCAGAGAGCTGTGTAAGGACATCAGGGATAAAATTGTAGACCTGCACAAGGCTGGGATGGGCTACAGGACAATAGGCAAGCAGCTTGGTGAGAAGGCAACAACTGTTGGCGCAATTATTAGAAAATGGAAGAAGTTCAAGATGACGGTCAATCACCCTCGGTCTGGGGGTCTATGCAAGATCTCACCTCGTGGGGCATCAATGATCATGAGGAAGGTGAGGGATCAGCCCAGAACTACACGGCAGGACCTGGTCAATGACCTGAAGAGAGCTGGGACCACAGTCTCAAAGAAAACCATTAGTAACACACTACGCCATCATGGATTAAAATCCTGCAGCGCACGCAAGGTCCCCCTGCTCAATAATATAATAATAATAATAATATGCCATTTAGCAGACGCTTTTATCCAAAGCGACTTACAGTCATGCGTGCATACATTTTTTGTGTGTATGGGTGGTCCCGGGGATCGAACCCACTACCTTGGCGTTACAAGCGCCGTGCTCTACCAGCTGAGCTACAGAGGACCTCAAGCCAGCGCATGTCCAGGCCCGTCTGAAGTTTGCCAATGACCATCTGGATGATCCAGAGGAGGAATGGGAGAAGGTCATGTGGTCTGATGAGACAAAAATAGAGCTTTTTGGTCTAAACTCCACTCGCCGTGTTTGGAGGAAGAAGAAGGATGAGTACAACCCCAAGAACACCATCCCAACCGTGAAGAATGGAGGTGGAAACATCATTCTTTGGGGATGCATTTCTGCAAAGGGGACAGGACGACGGCACCGTATTGAGTGGAGGATGGATGGGGCCATGTATCGCGAGATCTTGGCCAACAACCTCCTTCCCTCAGTAAGAGCATTGAAGATGGGTCGTGGCTGGGTCTTCCAGCATGACAACGACCCGAAACACACAGCCAGGGCAACTAAGGAGTGGCTCCGTAAGAAGCATCTCAAGGTCCTGGAGTGGCCTAGCCAGTCTCCAGACCTGAACCCAATAGAAAATCTTTGGAGGGAGCTGAAAGTCCGTATTGTCCAGCGACAGCCCCGAAACCTGAAGGATCTGGAGAAGGTCTGTATGGAGGAGTGGGCCAAAATCCCTGCTGCAGTGTGTGCAAACCTGGTCAAGACCTACAGGAAACGTATGATCTCTGTAATTGCAAACAAAGGTTTCTGTACCAAATATTAAGTTCTGCTTTTCTGATGTATCAAATACTTATGTCATGCAATAAAATGTAAATTCATTACTTAAAAATCATACAATGTGATTTTCTGGATTTTTGTTTTAGATTCCGTCTCTCACAGTTGAAGTGTACCTATGATAAAAATTACAGACCTCTACATGCTTTGTAAGTAGGAAAACCTGCAAAATCGGCAGTGTATCAAATACTTGTTCTCCCCACTGTATGTGTTGTGATAATTGCGCTGATTGCTCTATAACCTGTTAGTTCATATGCCTTACCACTGTGATATATAGGCCTAAGGCCCAAGGCAATAAGAAGACACAGTGGAAGAATAAATTCAACCACACATTTATTTCATTACAAAACCGGACAGATGTTGCTGTCCGGTTTTGTAATGAAATAAATGTGTGGTTGAATTTATTCTTCCACTGTGAAGTCCACAAAACATATTGCATGTAACAAACAGTTACATGACCTACAGCACGGTCGAGCAAGGTAATGTTTCCGACATTTCCGCACTACTAAACAACTATTTATTTTGAAACACAGAGACTTACCGCAAGTCGCAAAGAAAACA